TATATATATATGTTATACATAATTTGTATACATATGTTTTACAGTAATATATTTTAAGGAATTGGCATACAATTTGGTATACAGTTAGCGAAAATAAATGCTAGCCATTAAGGTCAAGGTTTCCTTAAACTCATATTCAGCTCTAAGAAATAAGAATAGATAGAGTCTAAGAAACTTACAGTTTTAGAGCACAGAGGACTGCTCTCTCAGTGGTTAGAAAAGGTTCATTGACTCAGAACTGAAAGAATTGATGCATAAGTTAGCACGGTGTCTTACCACTTACGTAAGGATACAGGTAGAGGTAGCTCTGCTGATGGACACTCACCTAACTGGACACACAGAGAACAAGCCAGTAAGGACAAAAGCTTTTGGTAGAATATAGAACTAGCCAGGGGATAGTAGTAAAATTAACATGCTAGAAAACTACAGTAGATGAATGCCTATTCAGAGAATGGAAAAGGGTAATTAGACATTTCAGAAGAGCACCACTGACAATTTTTGTGGTGTTTGAATTGTTCTAGAGCATTAAAAAAATGCAATGAGAGTTTACATCTTGTTCCATGAAGTTGACAAGACATACCAAAATAGAAAAACATACTGCAATTAACTTTGTACTTAAGATCTTAAAATTGAACTCATTTTAAAACTATTATAAGAAGGCTAGACATGTGCCTAGATTAGAAATAGTTGGGTGAAGATGTTTCTTCCTAAGATATATATGGAAAATTGATTTTCCAGAAAAAGGCCCAGGGTAGTTTTTAGTTGACAGTATGATTCTGACCATCTACATACTTTGTGTTAACAGCAAGAAATGTGGCTTGCATTGGAAATGTATTCTTTGAATTTATATTAATCAGGTCTTTACTAATGTGTCAGGCATGATCTTAGGTGTGGGAATATAGCAAGGTACAACAAAATGGCCAAAATTATAGATAACAGTGGGAGAAAACAAAATTACTATGTGAAACATACATGATATATAGCATAGAGATGCCATAGAGAAGCAGCTAGGGATTCTTGGGTGTGGGTGCCTTTCCCTGGTATGTAGGAGCGTTGGAGGCAGAGGCTGAGGGAAGAACTAGAAGAGACTCAGTGACAAAGGGTACAATGAGAATACTCTTGGTGGTACCAAGACAAGTACTTATGATGCTCTGAATGTTGAAAACAGGGAGAATTGATAGTTTAACCAGAACCAAGAGTTCTGTTACAGTGACTTGGAGGCTGTGAATTTTTTTTTAGCAGCCTTATTGCAATACAACACATAAATATACTTTCAGACAAGACCCCTTGCCTCGATGTCTCCATCAGCAGAAGTGAAGAAGGACACCCAGGCTTCTTTCAAAGTAGCAATTCAAAGTCGGGTGTGGTGCCGCATGCCTGTAATCCCAGCACTCAGGAGGCTGAGGCAGGAGGATCACTGTGAGTTTGAGACCAGCCTGGGCTACATAGTTCCAGGTCAGTCTCAACTACATAGGGAGACCCTGTCTCAACCCCCCCCATAGCAATTCAATGACTTAATATCCACTGATTTGTGTAACTGTCATCACAGTCAATTTTAGAACATTTTCTTCACTCCAAAAAGAAGTCCCATGTCCTATAATAGTTATCCAGTCCCTGGAGTGATACTGTTTGGGGGGTGCCCAGAGCTCTTGTCTACCTTGTCTTAATTACTTTCTCATTGCGGGGACAAAATACTGGACACCCAAAATTAAATGAGGAAATGCTTATTTCCACTGCTTCAATGCATGGTTGACTGCAAGGCAGGACAAAAGAATATTTGGCAAGTCTAAAGCAGTAGGGTTTAGCAGAAATTTGCATTAAGCTAATATAAGTCTCGGTTGTTTCCTAGCCTAGGAATGTGGTAACTCGTGAAGTGCAGTGGGAAAACACCCTATTGAATTATTAGTTGTGGACACCTGGGATAAAGAAAGGTGTAGGATCCTGGATAGTGGCAATTTAAAGGGTAAAAGATGAAGTCTGCAAACCTAAAACTTCTTTTAAAAGGACAGTTTTAAAACATATAGACACACACAATGAGATATCACTACACAGTTATTAGTAGGGCTAAAATGATGGTAATAAATACCTGCAACAATTTGGAGAAACCAGATACTTCATAGATAGCTGCTAGGTGTAAAATAGTATAACTGCTTTGGAAGCAATGCTCATGGGTACAATTTCTGGATTCTGTGGTATGTTGCTTTTTTCTTATAAAATTGTCAAACTGTGTTCCAGAGACATGAAGATTTATGTTCACATTAAAACTTGTAATAAGAAAACAGTAGTGGGAAGGAGAGAATATTCAAAACACAAGGAATTACCTTAACCCAGATACAAAAAACTCCACTGAATTTAAAAATGGACAAAAGACTTGAGTAGACATTTCTCCAAAGAAGAATGGTCAACACGTATATGGAAAAGGCACTCAATGCCACCCATCAGCAAAGTACAAATCAAAGCCACAGCACAATTGCACCTCACAGCAGTTACCGTGGCTACAGCCCAAAAGGTAAACAAAATAGCAAATGTTGGTGAGGATGGTGAGAAATTGGGTCCCTTGTGAACAGCTGGTGCAAATGCAAAGGGACACAACCTCTATGGAAAACACTGGCGAGTGTAAAGATGAAAGCCAGGCCCCTGCCCTATGACCCTGCAGTGTCTGAGTATATCACTAGAAGAACTGAAATCAGGAGTGTGTGTGTGTGTGTGTGTGTGTGTGTGTGGTGGGACCAGTGCCACATAGGATTCCATCCTAAACATTCTTGGAATGACAAACCATAGATGTGGAAGGCAGACTGGGGATAGGAGATAGGGTTCGGATCAACGTGGATGTGGCCATGGGAGGGCAGCATGAGGAGTCCTTGGGGACAGAGATGCTCTGTGTCTGAGATGGCGGATCCATGGCTCGTGTGTGGCAGCAGGCACACAGAGCCCTCTGTTGGCATGTGAGCCAAGTCACCAGGTTGTTTTTGCTTAACAAAACCCCTCAGTAGTCAGGTTTAATTACAGGGTTGGCACTTTTTGATAAATAAGTGGGGTTGGGGTTGCAGTTTGGGCACTCAGTCTCTAAAAGGTTCACCATCAGTGCACTACTCTTGATAGGATCAGTGTCACATGTAGTTGTAATATTACAATGTGTTGCCACTGGGGAGAAGTAGGTGAAAGATGCAGATATCTCTGTGTGAGTTCTGTATAAATGTTTTATAATTTATGTGAATAAATCTATATTTATCACAAAACTTTTTTTAAATTTTTAAATTGAATTTATTGGTACATTCTAGGTAGACAGTACAGGTACATTAATTACTGGGATCTTGTACCTTTGCATGCCAGGTCTTGGTTCTAATTTTTTCCCCTTGTCTTTCCCTATCCTTCTCACTGTCCCTATACCTTTGGTCCTTTTCTTCCTATTTCACATTGCTAATTGTCCCATTAGAATCTTGAGTACTATTTTAGTTTTTCACACCAGAGAAACTATCAGTATTTGCATATGTGTGACATTTATTTCACTTAGGAGTATATCTTCAAAATGTACCCATTTACCTATGAATGAATCTACTTTCTCATTCTTTATGGCTGAGTAATATTCCATTTTATAGAAAAACCACATCTTTATCCACTTTCCAATTGATGGGCAGATGGGCTGTTTCCAAGTTTTAGCTATTACAAACTGTGCCGCTATAAACATGGGTGTGGATATATCACTGTGATATGATTCTTTTAATTCTTTTGGAAAGATACCCAACAGAGGGATGGCTGGGTCAAATGGAACCTCTAATCCTAGTTCTTTGAGTTATCTTCATATTGACTTCCATAGTGGTTGCACCAGTCTGCACTCCCACCAACAATGGAGAAGGGTTCCTTTCTCCCCACAACCGCGCCAACATTTGTTGTTATGTGATTTCTTGATAGCAGCCATTCTTTGTGGGGCGAGGTGAAATCTCAGAGTTGTTTTCATCTGCATCTCTCGAATGACCAGTGATGTGGAGCATTTTTTCATATATTTACTTGCTACTTTTTTTTCTTTGAGAAATGTCTGTTCATTTCAGATACTCATTTTAGAATTGGGTCTTTATATTTGGGGGCACTGGTTGTTTTGAGTTCTTTACATATTTTAGATAATAGTCCTTTGTCTGAGGAGCAGCTGGTAAAAAGTTTTTCCCACATTGTAGATTCTCTTAGTTCTGTTGATGGTTTCTTTTGCAGTACAGTAGCTTTTTAATAAGATGAGATCCCAGTTGTTGATTCTTTCTGCTAGTTCCCGTGCTACTGAGGATTTGTTCATAAAGTCTTTTCCTATGCCAATTTAAGTTCTGCCTAACTTATCTTCCAGCAAGTTTAGTGTTTTGGTTTTTATATTAGATCTTTAATCCACTTGGATTTTAATTTAGTGCATGGTGACAGATAAGGGTCTAGTTTTAATCTTTTGCAGGTTGAGATCCAGTTTTTCCAATACCATTTATTAAAGAGGCTATCTTTCCTCCAGTGGGGACTGTCAGCTCCTTTGTCAAAGATGAGGTAGCTGAGTGCATCTGGAGTTGTTTTTGTGTCTTCCAATCTGTTCCACTGATCCTCAGGTCTGTTTCTTTGCCAGTACCATGCTATTTTTATCACAGTGGCTTTGTAAGTATAGTTTCAAATTGGGAATTGTTATACCCGCTGCCATGTGTCTGTTGCCTAGTATGGCTTTTGCTATTCTAGGTCTCTTATGGTTCCAAATGAATTTTTGGATTCTTCTTTCTAGTTCTGTGAAGTATAGTGTTGGGATTTCAATTGGTATTGCATTGAATCTGTATAGCAGTTTTGGTAGTATG